TTAAGATCATGTTCCATGAAGATATTTTGTAAATTTCCTACTATCAATATATCAAAACTTAATTTTTGATTAGTAATATGCATTGCTAAGAACTTCATTTGAACAACTTTAAAGATGATTTTCTCAATATTTAGATTTTTTTGCACGCTCAGATTCCAGATTTTCAAATATTGTTCTATCCTAACAAACCATACATCAATGGAAAGCTTATTTATTCAGCTTTCAGATGATGCATGAATCTCAATTTTGAAAAATTGACCCTTATGACTGGTTTTGTGCTCTAGGGTCACAATTCGATTTTGAGATTTTAGCCTGGATTTCACAGACAGGCTCACATTTATGTACCGAACCGAAAGACCCGTACTGAAAATTTCAGTATGGATATGTGTACCGTTACACCCCGACTGATCAACATAAAACTAGTCAACATGAAATGCAATTTGCAGTCTGTTTTAGTAACACGATGTGCTTGATTCAGAGTGAATCTGTCGTGTGGAACTGAGACGTCACCCAAAAAGCAAGTCGTTTCAGAGGCATTTCAATGAAAGATTATGAAGAGAAACAGGAATCTCTGCTCTTACCGAGTAGTGTCTCTTTCGGGTTTTGTCCACACATTTCCCCTGCAGACAGATCCGGCCCTTCCCACACGGCGTTCCCTCCACGGCTGGAAGCTTCTTGGTCAGACACACCATCTGTCCCTTCCTGATGACGGCGCACCACAGACGCGCGCACACGTCCATCCCGGGACACACGGTGTACTCCGGCCCGAAGGCCAGGCGGCACTGCAGGACCGCATCGTATCTCTGACCCGGCAGCTCCTCCGGACCCAAGAGAGGCAGACGAGGAGCGTCCAGCAGACACTCCGCTGCACACACAGCAACATTACAGAGCTACAGCACTGCTCACCAGTAAAACAGTGTCTTCTGCTCACCAAGACTGCATTTATTTGATCAAAAATACAATAAAAACTGTAAAATAAAATAACTGTTTTCTATGTGTATATCTGTTAAACTGTATTTATTTCTGTGTATTTTCAGCATCATTACTCCAGTCTTCAGTGTCACATGATCTTCAGAAATCATAATAATATGCTGATTTGCTGCTCGAGAAACATTTCTGATTATTATCAATGTTGAAAACAGTTGTGCTGCACGATATTTTTGTGGAAACCGTGATACGTTTTATTTTTCAGGATTCACAGATGAACAGAAAGTTCAGAAGAACAGCATTTATTTGAAATAGAAATCTTTTGTGACATTATAAATGTCTTTACTGTCACTTTTGATTAATTTAATGCATCCCTGATGAATAAAAGCATTAATTTCCCTCAAAAAATCTTCAGCAATCAATCAGCATTAATAGTGTGCAGATGTCTGTTTTTTTAATTTTATTGATTGATAGATTTTTTCCCCACACAGTGAATAACAGTTTTTTTCTGTGCTGGTTACAAAATAGTTGACAGTAAATTAAAATAAATGTGAGCCTGGAGCACAAAAGCAGTGTTAAGTCGCTGGGGTATATTTGTAGCAATAGCCAACAATACATTGTATGGGTCACAATTATACATTTTTCTTTTATGCCAAAAATCATTAGGATATTAAGTAAAGATCATGTTCCATGAAGATATTTTGTAAATCTCCTACCGTAAATATATCAAAACTTAATTTTTGATTAGTAATATGCATTGCTAAGAACTTCATTTGAACAACTTTAAAGATGATTTTCTCAATATTTAGATTTTTTTGCTCTCTCAGATTCCAGATTTTCAAATATTGTCCTATCATAACAAACCATACATCAATGGAAAGATTATTAATTCAGCTTTCAGATGATGCATGAATCTCAATTTAAAAAAATTGACCCTTATGGTCCAAGATCACAAATGTATTTAAAAAATGAAAATAAAATGAATTACATTTTTTTTTATATAAGAATAAAAATGACCAAAGCACATAACAAAATGACTAACAATTAAAAATAAATATAATGTAATATAATGTAATAAAATGCTATTAAAATAAAATACAAATAACAAAAATAAAATAAAATATTAATAAAATATTAACGATTTCAAAAATTAATAATAAAATAAAAAATAAAATGTAATAAAATATTAATAAAAACTTTAGTATAACTGAAACTGAAATAAAACTAAAATTAAAATGAAAATGAAAAACAATAAATTTCAAAATATTACAAAAAACTGAAATAAATGTAAAATATTAATGCAAACTCTAATAGTATGTAAATTGCAACCCATTTGACTAATTTAATGTGCCATGATTTCCACATAAACAATCAGTATCATAAAACAGATTCATGAAATCTCAGATCTAATCAGATTAATAATAGCCTTATTTCCTTCTGATTCTGATTCTAACCATACAAAATGTGTCACAGTTTTTGAGGATGCAACATCAAAATCAGTCACTTTGAGCTGCAATGATCTGAATTAAAAACCTGCTTGAGTTCATGTGTCAGCATGACTGTTTCTCACCGTTTCCGTCGTCGAAGAAGTCAGTGATGGTGGCAGAGGTGCAGCGGCTCCAGGGTTTGGATGCGTCGATGGAGGTCAGGATGGACGACATCAGCCGCTTGTCTTCACTGGAGCCAAATCGCTCCTCACAGAACTTAGAGTCGTCATGGGACAGACCCAGCAGGTGCCCTGAGACACACACACACACACACACACAAACACACACACACACACACACACACACACAGGAAGTGATGTCATTAGCATGTGTGAGAGCGCACGTG